GTTGGCTAACAAAAAGCTCTTCAAGTGAACTATGTTCTTTTTAGAACCCCATTAGCCTTATATTCTGGCACATGGAGATGTTTCAAGATTGCCAGGCAGTTTACTTGCCTCAGAAATTGTCATTTCTCAAATAAGCCCAAACTCCTTTACTGGAAAATGGTAGAGACCAACCAACATCTGGACATGATGTGCTCACTGCTTTTATGGTTTCATTATTGATAGGCTCTCTCAGTGTACAGTGCTATTAGTTCTTTTAAATTTTTTGAGTTTGTATTGGTACTTGAAGTTCAGGTCTAGCATTTCTTATACTCATTATATTCACTCTAGTGCTGTGAAAATAAATAAATTAGCCCAAACTTGGTGGCTAAAAATGAACATATTCTTTCAAAGTTCTACAGGCTCAAAGTCTTGAGCCTGAAGCAGAGGTCTGAGAAAATGAGTGAGACACAGTTACATTTAAAGCGTCTATAATATCTACTAACTTACTCTTGGCCAAAATGAGTTGTATGGTCATACAAACAGTCAATGAGGTTTTAAAGGAAAGAAGAAATAAAAAAGATTAAGAAAAACACATGAATTCAATATTCCTATGTCATATTTTCTGTTAAATTTATTACATTTTCTTGTTCTAACAACAAAGGATAATTTTTGTAGGTAAAGGTGAACATTTGGGGTGGTTTACTAGATTGTTGTATGCTTTGGAAGTTGTTTGATTGCACTTCCTAATTACTCAGGCAACATTATTTCCCTTTTCGGATCTATTATGGGGTTGAAGACTAGGTAAATATAGCAACTTTTCTCTCATGACTTGTCCAAGTTATTTATTATGCAAGACTTGGCCTAGTTAGGATAGGATATTTGTTTTTATTGTATATAATTTTGTAGTAGGTTCAGAATGCTCTTATTTAAACAAAAGGGAGAGGTGCTGCGGGAGGACCTTCGCTCCTTCAGCCAATAGCCACTGAAGTACAAGCCCACTGAGCCTACAACTTGCCAAGGTAAGCATAAAAGAGAAGAGGGAGTAAGGCTTGTACTATTACAGGATGGTTGTTACTGGTGTGTCCTTATGGCCTAAGGCCCACTGAAACCTGCCACAGCTGAAATAGACATTGCATAGATGGAGACTATATGTCTCTGCACAGGAGTTATTTCAGAAGCTCCATCAAATATGAATTCCTGGGGATGGGTGGTAGTGGTGGTGGTGTCTTTGGGACTTGCCCAGTCTTAGTTTTCACCAGCCAATTCTAAGGCAAAGTACTGTTCTTACTACTCTGCCCTACCCACAGTGAATGAGGTCTTGCTTTATAATGCTGTTCAACATTGGGGTACTATTGGTAAACGTGGCTTTTGGACACAAAATTGATGATAATATGGGTGGCTCCTCAGATTTTAACAGTGTTGATAACCTGTACAGTGTCAAAGGCAGCTTCAGCCCATATCACCCGCTTCCATCACTTTCAGGCTGAAGCTCAAGTCAATCCTACTAGTGTACAAGTATACTATAGGTACTGCAGCCAGTCCATAAACTCCATCTGGAAATTTTGGCCTTCATACAGGGTCTTCAGCATTGGGTTTCATCACAGTGGGCCTGAAAATAAGCTCCAAGGCAAAGTCAAAAGCTGTGCTAGCTTTCATGCTCTACTCCTCAGCAGGTGGAATCTTCCTCCCTATCTGTCACCAGGGATTGGAAAAGGGGTTTCAAAGAATGGTGGAATTGGTTTCTCTCATGCTGTCTTAACTCAGTTCTAGCATCTCAGAACTTGGGTTTTGGCCTGATAATAGAAGGTTTAATGTATTACTCAGCATCAGCTGTCTCTGTCAGGCCAGGAATTAGATTGCAAGTCTAAGGCCTGATCTTAAGTCTTCTCTCATCCTCAACTCTCTCTAAGCTGTGCTGCTTAAAGTTCAGGGAGGCAGGTCAGAGGCAACGCTTTCCTTCCTGCTTTCTTTAATATATCTTGACTTATTTATTTTTATTATTTTTATTTTAAAACAATCTTTTTTATTTTAGATATCAAGACCAGTTCTCTCTTCTTCCCCTATTCCCACTCCCCAGACCTTCTCCCTACCTCACACCCATCCACTCCTAAGGCCTCCCATAGAGAGTCAGCAAAGTCTTTGGCCTATTCTTTAATAGCAAAAGCAGGCACTATAGTCTTTCATTTGCTTTCCTTAACTCATGTGAAAGGAATTTATATATGATTAACTATTCAACTTGGTGTGTCTCAGTGGAAATGGTTAATGAAGCAGCTTAGTCAGCCACCATCTTTCTCTGCCTTCCATTTTGATATGTAATGCTTTGTTATTATTAATTTAAAGTATTTTATTTATTTTTTTTGAGACATGGTTTCTCTGTCTGTCCTGGAGCTCTCTCTGTTGACCCAATTGGCCTCAAATTCATAAAGATCCATCTGCCTCTACCTCCTGCATGCTGGGATTAAAGGTGTATGCCACCATCATCAAGTTTAGAGCCAACTTCTTAAGGATTCTAATGGAGACTGGAGACCAGCTGAGACACCCAGCCACAGAGACTGAACAACTACAGGATTCTTGGACATTCTGTCTGGAAATAGCCATTGTTGGACTAGCCAAAGTCTATAAGTTACTCTAATAATAAATCCACTTTACATCTCTCTCTCTCTCTCTCCTGTTCCTATGGAGAATATTGACTAATACACCCATCTTGTTGATCAAGGGTGATCTGGAGACCCCCTAAACAATACACTCTATTGTTATTGCTGCTGGCTCAGGTCTACTGCCTTGGAGTTCCCAGGCTCGGGTGCACCCCGAATTGCAGAGGACCTGGCTCAGGCTTACTCCCTCAGAGGTCCCAGACTCATGCTCGGACCTGCAGAGGTTCTAGGTTCCTGCCTATTCCCTTTGATGTCCCAGACCAATGCCGGGACCAACATGGGTCCTGGCTCAAGCCTACTCCCTCTGAGGTCCCAGACTCATACACAGATTTGCAGAGGTCCTGGCTCAGGCCTAGTTCCTGGGAGGTCCTAGACTCATGCCCAGACCCACAGGGGTCTTGGCTTAGGTCTACTCCCTTGAAGGTCCCAGATTCACATCTGGACTCTCAGCAGTCTCTGGCTCTGGCTCACTCACTCAGTGGTTACTTCCCTGTACCTGTTCCAGTGGAGATCTCTGACTCTGGATCGTCTATTATTTTTAATAGATTCTTGAGAATTACTTGGTCTATACTTCTGGCTAATTCTGAGAAAACTTACCCTTCTCAGATCTCTGTGATAGATGTTGACATCCCCAACAGGCCAGGGACAGAGGTCCTCTCCTCTGTTCCCTCTTAGACAACCTGATTACTCAGTCTTTTCTCATTATAAATAGTTCTCCAACCCCAACATTGGGCAGAGATATGTCTAAATTACTCTTTCCCTTTTCTTTTCATCCAACTCCTTCTGGAATTGCCCCTCTCCTTCTAGCCTTTGAAGAGTCTCCTTGTGTACTAGCTGATACTAATACTTCACCCTATCCTCTTCCAGACTCCCCCTTTGACACAAAAGTATGGGGTACCTCCTTTCCTTCAGTGGCTTCCCATCATCATCTCCCCAATTAATATCATTCTCTACTTATTACTTTTCTGTTCTAGACCTTAAGGATGCTTTCTTTACCATTCCTTTATACCCAGATTCACATGATCTGTTTGTTTTTACCTGGGAAGACCCTGACATGAGAAATTGTCTCAGCTTATTTGGACAGCCCTTGCCCGGAGGTTCTGAGCTCTCTCCCATTTCTTCAGCCAGGCTCTGGGCACTGACCTCCTTTGTCTTGTTGACCTGTCTCCCAACTACTTATGTAGACGACCTCCTATTATGCAGCCCCTTTCTCTCACTGTCATAGCAACATACTGTTAAACATCTTAAATTTCTAGGGAAACAAAGGATAGGATGCAGAGTCTCCCACTATAAAGCTAAGCTTTCTTCTGTTCCAGTTAAACATCTAGGATTTCTCTTATTCCCCAACAGCTACAAAGCTCACTCTTAATGGCAGACATTACTTATAGTCCCTCACATCTCCAACCACAAAATAAATTCTCTCCTTCCTTGGCCTGGTAGAATACCTGAGAACCTGAATTCCCAAAGAATTCCTTATTCTATTTCCCTCCATTCTGATATTTATGCTGTTGTCATATGTTCTAAATAAACCATCAATCCATCATCATAAGTTGGTTATCTCAAGTGGTTTTTACAGTAATAGAAAACTGACATACCACACCATGGTTAATTTTTGGTTTAAAAATTATTACAAACTGGGCTGGAGAGATAGCACAGCAGTTAAGAGCATTGGCTGCTCTTCCATAGGTTCTAAGTTCAATTCTAGCAACCACATGGTGGCTCACAACCATCTGTAATGAGATCTGGTACCCTTTCTGGCCTGCAGACATACATACAGACATAACACTGAACATATAATAAATAAAAAAATTTTAAAAAGTTTAATATTTTAAAAAATATTACAAACTACCACAGATAATGTAAACATTCTCATGGCATACTAAGACCTTGTGTTATACTTGTACTTAGTATACTTTGTTGAATTATCTAGAAAATCTACATCAAGCTTGAAGGGTATATGGACCACTAGAGCTAAAGTTAAGAAGGTTTTGGAGTCTAGCCTTGCTAGTAAGCATAAGAGCATCATTAAGCATTTTTCAAAATACAAAAAGAAAACCAATTCTATATGACTTCCATTTCCGTGAGCAGCAACTTTCGGCTGTACTTTGTTTTTTCCTTGGAAGTTTGCACCTTTGCTTGGACTCACTATGTTCTGTTAATGTAGGTATTTATTAAATTTTGTCCTGAGAGGATGGTCACAAAGCAATGTGGTTCTATCCCTAAATGTCAAAATCTAAGACAGGTGTTACATCTGTAATTTTTTTAAAGGCAGGGTCTCACTCTGTAACCCAAGTTGGCCTTGAACTGAATGACAAGATTATAGGTTTGAGTCACTATACCCACTCTGCCTTTTTAATGAGGACATACCTTTACTTTGCCATTGTGTAAAATGTGAGTCCATTGATGGCCATCTTGACTGCTAGAGATAAGGAACTCTTTCACAAACATGCTAGTAAAGAGAGATTTCACTCCCTGGGTTATTATTCCGGTGACTTTCATTGTCTTTTGTAAGTCCACTTGCAACCATTCTTTTGGATCATTTACCTGAGGAAGAAATATTGGAAAAATATCCTTTTCACTATTTGCTTCCATAAATCCACAACTTTCTTTTTAATCATACTACATTACTTATCTCCCTATATAATGGTTTGTTTGCCTCCTTTATTTGACTAATAATCATGAGGGTCAAATTTTTCATAATTCTTTTCTTTTTTAATCTTCTTGGGTCATCCACTTAATAGGTTTCTAGTAAGTGCTGAATGAATTAAGGAACCATATCTACTAGAATATAAAGTCTGGCAATGTAATACCCAAACTCTGGATTGAACTTTATCTACCAGGCTGTTTTCACAGTACTACATACTAGTACTACATACAGAAATTCTTTTCTTCCAGATAGTTCATTAATGATCATTTCTGTCTTCAGTGAATGCTGTGTAAAATCATGTGCCTGTGAGGCATCGTTGACTTCCCTAAACATTCTTTTTAGGAACCGTGAACAGAAATACCTATGAAAAACGAGGCTTCTCCTATTTTCCAAGGCTCTATTATCTATTTTTATTAGTTAAGTGGTAAATAGGTTGTTCTTACCTGAGGTCTCCAGGCATTAGTTCTTCCCTGGAGATGAAGTCGAGCTTGTGAAGGAGACCAACTGGCAAACATATTGGTGAAGTAGGATGAGGCATTAATTTGTGTATCTGATATTACTTTATTCTCCATTCCCAGTGGTATGCTACAACCTAAAAGAAATAAAATTGCAATGTTGTCACATGGGTAGGCTGCAGCATAGGCTTCACTGTGCTGCATTGAATCCTCTATATATACTGTTATCACGATAATTTTCAGGCATCAACTTTTACACAATTCCTATTATTGCTAAAATGCCCAGATTTTCTGGTCGGTTCTGATTAGCTCTGCTTGATTTCAATTTCCTTATTGATAAAAGCATAAGAGATGACTGTTTTTGGAGAACCCTATTGTTAGTATAACTACAGTAACAAACTCTGGTTTTGTTGTTTTTGTTTATTTTAGGACTATGCGGGATTGTTTTGATTGTTTTGTTTTTAATCACTGACAGTCCTCTATTCTGTGATAAAAATCCCTCCTCACAGTCTCAGGATAACTAAAACAGATATTCTACTCATGGTTGAGAGAAAAAAAAATAAAATAATATGGGATGATTTGGCACTTACTGCTTAAATCACAGCCCATCAACTCCATTCGAAGAGTACTGCGGATGCTAGAATGAGTAGGGTGCAAACGGATATACCGAGCAATAATTGGAGGATTAAAACTATTGTGCTTAATCCCAGATGAATCCACATTGCCAAAGAAGACCTATTAGAATAAATTATCAGAAATATTTGGAAAGTAAATATAAAGTGTAAAGAATGTTGTTCTATTTACATTTTCCTTCTAATTTTGCCTCTGACATTTTTTCATATGCTGACTAGATAGATGATATACATGAAGACTTTTTTTAAAGCACCAAGAAGACTGAAGACAGAAATCTTTAATTAATAAATAAATAAACATGAAAAAAATAAATTAAACCAAAAAAAAAAAAAGACTGAAACAAGGTAGTTTGGTTTGGTCTGTGGTTTTCTACCTTGGGTACCTCATAAAAGTTGATGAAGCCATTAGAACTTTGTAACTCCAGCATTGTATCTATCACCTGAGAGCAATCAGAAAGGCAGTGTTTGAATAGTTATACCAGTAAGCTGGTGAAATAATGGATACATAGCTCTCATTTCACAGGAACAACAATTTGGCAGACATTTATGGACATCTTGGTATGCACATAGGAGGCTGAGAAATACTATAAAAGCACCAAGTATAGATTTTTGATATCAGCCTTCTGCCTGTAATCCTGGCTATACACCGGGAATCAGAATTCCTTTTTTGGATTCAGATCCAATTTCACTCATGTGTAGTCCTAACACTAACCTTATCCACCCAAGTACCTTGGAAGGGCCATTTTCATCAGTTTCCCTAGTAACAAGTAGCTATGGTTTGGGTGAGCTTTTTCTTAAAGTTTTGTGTGTTGTAGGACTGATCCTGAGTATGGTAGAGAGGATAATAAGCTGGCCTGCTTTGTCTTAAATTATTCAATTTGATAAAGAAAGCAACAGCCTTGACCTGAACTATTCCATTTTGAGTGTAAGAACCAAGAGATAATGACTATGACTATATATTTTGTTTACACAAGTGACAACCACTAATTGACAGAATATCAAGAGGCATAAAATGATTATTTACACTAGTAAATAATATCTCCAAATGTATTAAGTCATACCAGAAACAACAGCCACATGAATTTATCAATTCTACCTTATAGAACCCATCACTTGGGACTGTAAAAGAAGGAGCACCTCAAGACCAAAGTATGGTAGGCACACTACCAGTCAGAGATCACTTGTCATGAGCCTTGTCCAGGAAATTAGCTACATCAAAAGATTCTGCCTCTGTTTCTGAGCTCAAGCAGTAGTGCAGTTTCCAGTTTCTTCTGCCTGTGACACTTAGCCAAAGTAAAACTCACAGTGGAAATGTCATATCACCTGTAACTGCATCTGACATTTCTGCAACTGAGAACAGCTCTGTGCCGTGCTTCATACGACTTCTTATCTGGTCCCCTACAGACTTCCTTGGAGAATGAACAGGCCTCTTTCTATAACTTCAAAATGGTATCTCTGAATTCTGCAATCTCTTTAACCCTTTTCAGTCATTATGTAATCTTCATGTTTGTTTATTATTGTGTGAAGTATCAATATTTTCCATTGATAATTAATGTTACTATTAAGATTAATAACCAATAATTAATATTAGTAATTAAGATAGAAATAAAAGAACCATTTTCCAATAACCAATTATCAAGGTAAATTGGAACTGCTTGCCAAACCATTGTCAATAAAACCAATATAACTTCAACATTTATTTACTCAATAAATTCTGACCTTGTGGAAAGATAGAAAAATGTCCATCTAAGTTTCTCACACAGCATCTTCATGATGGGTAGGCAAGGAATTAGAGAACTGGGAGAGGAGCATCTTAAATCTTTCAAAGGTCAATGTATTACTAAGCAATCCTCAAAAAAAATTTTTTTTTGATTTTTTGAGACAGGGTTTCTCTGTAGCTTTTGGTTCCTATCCTGGAACTAGCTCTTGTAGACCAGGCTGGCCTCAAACTCACAGAGATCCGCCTGCCTCTGCCTCCCGAGTGCTGGGATTAAAGGCATGCGCCACCGCCGCCTGGCTCTCAAATTATTTTTTACTGCTTGTTTAAGAAATGAAGTAGAAGAGTAAGTTGGAGGCTTAAGTTAGCCACAAAACTAAAGGGTGGACTAATGACAAGTAATATAACTATCCATTTCTTTCTGGCCCCAAACTAGCAATTTGGCAAACTTGTAGCAATTAAGTTTGGTTAACCTTCTCCTATCTCAAACATCCATGCTGAGTTTTGAACCACATAGAACATCCTTTAACTGACTGCAAAATTACACCAGAAGCAATAAAGTTAATTTATTTCTTAGGTAGCCTGAGGAGATAGAATACAGTTTTCACACCATCAATCAAGTTATCCTCAGCAGAATGCAATTTCAGGCCTATTTCAATAAAACCCTTAATAAAAAAAAAGACTTGATACAACTTGGTTCTTTGCTATTTTCCTACATGGCTTGCCTTATTCTTTCTTGCAAGAAATAATATCCTTTCCCTACACTATGACTTCATTAAAAGTTTCCTTAACATTTCTTCTGGTCTCTTTTTTTATCTGAGAAGGTACTCTAGGAAAGATGTCCCTAACCTTAGGCCATACCACAAAGGATTGAAGTGAGTCTCCACTTCTCCCTTAATAGTAGGCCCTTTAAGGGATAGAACCTAAGTCTGGCATGATGTTACATATCTTTAATTCAAGCACTCTGGAGGCAGAGGTTAACAGATCTCTGAGTTTGAAGCTGTCCTGGCCTACTTCCACTCTGCCTTCCAAGTGTTGGGATTAAAGGCGTGTACTACCACACACAACTTCTCTTTTTTTCTTACTTTTTTTTTACTTTAAGAATTTTAACTTTTAGTCTGCATACATTTTTAACACTGTAAATCATTTAAAATTTTCTTTGTCTTTGAATCTCTCTTTACTATATATCTCTCTTTTTCTGACCACACGAGCCTTTAAATTACTGAGCAATATGAGTAGGATTAAAGCCGTGGCTTTGCTAGGTAGATCCAGTACATTCCTTAGNCCACCCACCTCCATCCAGGTCTAGTAAGGTGAGCATCCAAACTGCCTAGGCTCCAAGGAATCCAACATTGCCAACACTGCCTACAACAACAATGGCAATAAGTCTCTCTCTTATAAACAAAAGTCCACAGCTCCCTCTCTGATGTGGGATTCCCATCTGTATGCTGCGAATATGTTTTATTGCCATTGGTTAATAAAGAAGCTGCTTTTAGTCAATGGCTTAACAGAGTAAAGTCAGGCAGAAAATCTGAACAGAGATGTATAGAAAGATTAGACGGAGTCAGAGAGATGCCATGTACCTGCCAAAGGAGACAGAGACCATGTATCCTTACTGGTAAACCATGAGCCTCCTGGTAAAATACAAAATAATGGAAATGGGTTAATTTAAGATATAAGAGCTAGATAGCAATATGCTTAAGTGATTGGCCAAGCAGAGTTGTAGTTAATATAGTTTCTGTATGATTATTTTGGGTCTGGGCAGCCAGGAAACAAATGAGCAGTCTCTGCCTACACCTCTCCTCTGGTACCTTCAACTTCCCTTTCTCCTTCTTCAGTGACAGGTTGTCCAGGTCAGCTCTCCTTGGCACCCACTTTCGGCCTACTAACAGCTCTTAGTGCTCCTGCTACTCATTCCCACTCTGCTATGAAATCTCCTGTACCAGCCCCATTCCTAGCTGGTCTTCACAGGGCTGCCCTTAAAACAGTAAATTATAAAAGGGACTACAAGGTCATCCAGGAAAGATATTAAAACCCAACTCAATTCCTCAACCACCTTACAGAGGCCCTCTTACAACATACCAACATGGATCCTGAGACCTCAGATGGAAAACAACTCCTTATGATCTCCTTATTTTCCTAGAGTTTCCCAGATAATAAGGTTAAACTTATATGTTTAAGAGAGGATCCCTGACATCACAGGCAGAAGCCTTAGCTGTGGCCTTTAAGGTATATCATGAAAGAGACGAAAAAGATTTTAAACAAAAATAGCTGATGATGGCTAAGGCCTCTCAACTGGCCAAAGTAGAAGCCCAGGCTCCCTCCTCTCCAAAAGCCCAAGAACCTTCACATCCTTGCTATTAATGTGGTCAGGAGGGTCAGTTGGTCAGACTTATCCAAATCCTTGGAAACCACCCAGACCATGTCCAAGGTGCCATCAAAAATGACATTGGGACACTGAATGCCCCCATGCTATGAGGAACATGGGGATATCAAACTCAAACCATCCTTCAACCAACCTCCTTAGTATGTCCATGGATGACCAACAAGGCCCAGGGTCCTTTGGCCCAACCGCTGCCATTTCCAATAGAGAACCTTGGGTAGCCATCACAACTTTGGGGTGATACATCTTATATCTCAATACTGACACCACTTTTCCAGTCCTGCTGCATACCTCAACCTCAAAGACAGACCTCAGAGTAAAGGGCTGAGAAAAATTTTCCAAATAAATGGACCTAAGAAATAAGCTGATATAGCTATTCTAACAAAATAGACTTCAAACAAAAATCAATCAAAAGAGACAAAGAAGAACATTTTCTATTTTGTCACAGGAAAAATCCATCAAGAAGAAATCTCAATACTGAACATCTATGCCCCCAAATACAAGGGTGCCGCCGTACGTAAAAGAGACACTTCTAAAGCTTAAATCACACATTAAACCCCACACACTAATAGTGGGAGACTTCAACACTCCATTCTCACCACTGGACAGGTCTGCCATACAGAAACTTAACAGAGAAAAAAAGGATCTAACAGATGTTATGACTCAAATGGATTTAATAAACATCTATAGAACATTGCATCCAAACATAAAAGAATATACCTTCTTCTCAGTGGTATACTACAGAATGGGAAAAGTTTTTTATTAAGTACATGTCAATAGAGGAATAATTTCCAAAGTATATAAAGAACTCAAGAAACTAGAGATCAAGGAAACAACCCAATTAAAAATGGGGTACTGATTTAACAGAGAATTCTTAATAGAGGAAACTCAAATGGACAAGGAAAAAGAAATGTTCAACATTCATAGTCATCGAGAATATGCAAATCAAACCTACTTTGAGATTTCATCTTCTATAATTAAGAATGGCTAAGATCAATAAAACAAATGATGGCTCATGCTGACAAGAGTATAGAAAGAATTGAACATTCATGCATTGTTGGTGGGAGTGCATACTGGTATAACCACTATAGTAATCAGTATGGAAATACTTCAGGAATATGAGAAATGATCTATATCAAAGATCCTGTTATACCACCCTTGGCCATATACCCAAAGGACACTTCATCCTTCCACAGAAACATATGGTCAACTGAAGCACGAGTAATAAATACTGAGAGGCAGATATTGGGGTTCAACCTGAAGACCAGCAAAACAAAATAGCCAGCCACTGGCTCTTACCTCTACCTCAGTCTGAAAATGTTGATCCTGCCTCCCAGAAACCTCAGAATGAAATGGAGACTGAAAACTGTCTCCTCCCATCTTATAATCCTCTCTAGTTCTTGGATTAAGGGCATGCATCACTACCGCCTGGTTTCTAAGGCAAGAAAGTGTGGCTACTGGGATTAAAGGTGTGCATCATTGCTGCCTGGTCTGTAAAGCTGGCCAGTGTGACTGTTTTACTTTTCTAAGTTTCAGGCAAGCTTTATTTATTAAAATACAAATGAAATGCCACTACAGTCAAACATGTTCATTGCTGTTCTATTCATAATAGCCAAAAACTGGAAACAACTTAGGTGTTTGCCAATGGGTCAATAAATAAAATAAAATGCCTCCTAATAATATTCTGCTTTACTAATATATCAGTGCTTTGCTCAGCCACCATCAGAGAAGCTTTCTCTTGCAGTAGATGAGAACAGGAATAGAGACCCACACAGTGAGAGAATTGGGGAGAATAGGAAACTGTGGAATACTAAGCCCTAAAAGGGATGTCTCCATCAAATCCCTCCATTCAGGGCTCCAAAAATGCTGCCAAAGAGAAGGCAGAAAGGGTGAAAAAGACAGAGGGATAGAGGGCTCCAAGAAAACAAGGCTTTCCAAATCAACAGGATCAAAGCTCATATGAACTAACAGAGACTGGGGCAGCATGCACAGGGTCTGAAGGGGTCAGAATGAGATGAGAAACTAGAGCTGAAAGGAGAAGTGGACACATGCCTCCATTCCTAACCAAGAAGCTATCTCCAACTGAAAATCATTTGCAAATGAAAATTTAGTTTACTCCAAGGGAGTCTCACTGGGGAAACAAACTATTTTTTTTTAGTTGTGGGGCAAAATCTAGGATCCTTTCTTAAGTGTGGAATATATACACATTAGAGTACTACTCTGCCATAAAAAACAATGACTTCTCAAATTTTGCATGCAAATGGATGGAAATAGAAAACACTATCCTGAGTGAGGTAACCCAGACCCAAAAAGAGGATCATGGGATGTACTTACTCATAATTGGTTTCTAGCCATAAATATAGGTCACTGAGTCTATAATTTGTGATCCTAAAGAAGCTAAATA